GTTCGGTTTGCAAATGCAGGCTGGCATCCAAACTTTCTGCATGACAAGTTAAAAAGGGGCTCTTGGCTTTCTTCAACACTCAGTGAGAGTACTTAAGGCCTTTCCCTCGCTTGCAAACTGACCTGAGAGAGAACATTAGCTGGGAAAGTCTGAAGCTGGTGATTCCACTCCATAGTCTTGCCACCACATTATGCAGAAAGTGAGGCTAAAACCAACTTTTGCCTAATACACGGAGACATTTTTTAACTAAAAATGTTTACTGGCGAGAAAGGACAAAAAAAGAAATGTTTATCTACCTTATTGGGGAGGCTCAAAAAGTTCTAGTTTTCCATTTGTATAGGTACTCCAACCACCAGTTGGCATGAAATAGTCCTTCAAGCCAAAAGCCAAGCCAGCATTAGGCCACAGGAATCCACCAGGGACCTGGACAGGAGAGAGGATGACAGGACCTCATCCCCAAGGGGGCTTTTTTATGGCCTGTTTATGCAAGAATGGAAAAAGGCTCTCTGCAATATCTTAGTCATGCATCTCAAATACCTTTAATCTCTGAGATGAGAATTGGTTTCTAAATTGCACCATGCACATTAGCTGGTCACTGTTCTCACCAAAAAAAAAAAGACCACTCTGACCATCAGTTGTTGATGGAGACAGAGGCGACGGGAAGCCTCCTCTGGGGGATGTGCTGACCTTCAGCCTGAGCTCTCCTGACCGGATGCCGCAGCCCCTGGGCATAGCTTGATCTCAGAACCACACACGAAGGCACAAGGAGATGCCTATGAGGTTTCAAGGTCAGTTGTCTGAGGCACTGAGAGGAGAGGAGCTCAACCTCCCCCGGACATACCCACCAAAGGTGCACAGCCTGAATCCAGTCACAAGCGAATACCAGACAGAAAGCAAGGGACCTCCTACAGAATCCAGACTCTTCTTCAAAAGCATCAGTATTGTGAAATGCTCAGGGAGACTGTAACCTCCTCCGGATTACAGGAGACTAAAGAGAGGGCATCCAGAAGCCACAGATGATCTTGGATTCCCTTTTTTTCTCCAGGACATTATTAGAACAAGTCGAGAAATCTATTTAAGGTCATTAATTTAGATAATGATATCGTGGGAGTGACCCAATTCTGATCCTTGCGCTGTGGTTATATAAGAGAATTTCTTATCTTCAAGAAATGCACCCCTACATATTTAGGAATAAAGAGACATGCCTACAACTTACTCTTCATTGATTCAGGAAAAAATAATACACACACACACACACACACACACACACATACACGCACGTGGGAGACAGTGGAGAATGAAGTCAATATAATATGTTAACATTTGGGGAATCTGGGTGAACAATGTGAACATTCTTTTTTACTATTTTTGCCACTTTTCTCTAAATGCAAAATATACCAAAGTGATTTTTTAAGTTAAAAAACCTGGCACACCTGGCCGGTATTCTCATCTGCTCACGGGCCTGGGTGTCCGCCTCGCAGGCGCAGAACTTCGGAACACACCCAAGCCTACCCGCTGAGGGCAGCCACACATGCCTGTTTGCCAAGGTACAGGGACCCCTTGACTCAGCAGCTGGCTTTTAGGGGTACCCTGCTCTGAAATTCCCAGGAGCCTTACGCACCACTCAGGACCCCCACTCTTATGAAACTTCCTCCTGTCTCCCGGCCATCAGGCCTAGGAGGAAGCCCCTACAAATGTTCCCCAAGCCTTGTTCTCCATGCCCCCTCAACCATGCTCCAGGAATTCAGGGAATTGGGAGGACGGCTGGGTCAGGAGCCAGCCCTACCCACTTTGGGTTAGGATTCTTCATGGGTCAGACCCAGGCTTTTGTAGAAATACATGAAGACCACTCATATGAGAACGAGCAAAGGCTGTTTATTCAGAACTGGCTATAGCAAGGGTGGTTATATTCAGCCACCATGGCTCGGTTTGGGGAAAGCTCTGTAATGGACAAAAGGGAGTGCCCCGGCCGGAGGCTGTTGGCTGAAGAAGCCATAGGCCCAGTAATCAGGAGCCGGGCATCCTGTGTGTTGGGTGAGGGGTGCCGAGTTGGCTGTCCCAGGCTGTTACAGGGTTACTGCTTGGCTTCCTGCACTGCTTGCCAGAGGAGGACTCTGCCCTCCTACCGGGCTGCCTTGGAGATAGCAGGCTGGCTTCCTGGGCTGGTTACTGCAGACTGTGGCTCAGAGTTCTGTTTTTACTTATTTTCTGGCCATTGTCCATTGATATATTCAGTCTCCCCCTTTCCAAGACCAAAGACCTTCTGCCCGTACCCAGTGATCTCAAGTCCCAACCATCAACCCAGACCTGGAAGGTTGTTTTCAGCACTAGAACAACCAGTCCTCGGCTAGGTGCCCCCAGGTGTGTGTTGGTGTGTGTCTGAGTCCTCAGTCATCCAGCTGAAGTCACAGGGCGTACGGAGAGCCCTGGGGCCTTTCCTCAGCCCCAGCACAACTGGGCCTCCGAGAGCTGCCGACGCCCCCGGGGCTCCGCTGAGCTGAGGTTCCAGCCTGCCTCTGCAAGGGTGGCTCGTCCTTCCAGAAAACCCCCTGAGCGTCTGGTAGCTCACTGTTTGCAGCAGCAGCACAAGGGGCCCTACCCCCCGCCCCCCACATCTCAGGAGACAGGCCCAGGCTTGGCAGGACCGTATCACCACATCCCCAGCCTCACTCCTCACACCCTCACCCCCCACACACCCCATTTCTGGCATGCAGAATTGCATTGATTTTATTTAGGGAAGCTTTTGTGGTGAGACTGTTGTAGCTGCCACTTGGCATCAGAGTCTGAAATAAGATCCTTAACATCACTTTCCATACCCCTTGCGCAAACCTGCCTTCTCCAAAACCTGCCTTCTCTCTGGCAAAAGGAAGGCCACAGGCCCAAGGTGGAGTCACTTGCCCCCAAGACAACAAACCTAGACTTAATCATAGTTTCAACCTCTCAAGGAGTGAAAGCTTAAGCCAATCCGTCTGGAATTTTCTGGTCAGTACCACAGAGGCTACCTGGACCTCTGCAACACAGTCAGGAGCCTCTCCAGCTCTCAGAGGAGGTTGAGGTGATCCACTTAAGAAGACCTCCTGCCCTCCCCCTAAGGGAAGGTGACCTTGCCTGAAATAACCCTCTTTTCCCACCCTCCTTCCAATGAACAGCTTCTATTTTGTACTCCTTGGTTCTCCCCTCTACTTGCCAGATGGGAGGCCGCCCTATGCATGAATTGCTTAATAAAGCCAAGTCGACCTTCAGATGGATTTGGTTGAAGTGTGTTATTTAACACTCCAATCAACTGGAGCTGGAGTGAGTTTGTGGTGCAGATACAAGCTGCACAAATTCTCTCCGAAAGCCCAGACCAACCTCCAAGATCAAGCAGCCAAGATATTTGCCTCATCATGATGGGTTTGAAGTAAGATTCGGAAGCCAAGGGCCAAGAAAGAATTCTTGAGACCTTTTGGTGCAACAAAAAAAAAAAGGAAGAGTTTACAAATATCTTAATGATTTACAAGGAAAAAGCATTCTTATCAATAGCCTAACTTCCAGAGACCCATAGACTCAATTTCCTGGAGCACTAACATCACCCACCCATCCATAGTGATGTGGGAAACAAAGGTAGAAGGAAATGTAAATAAAATAAAATATCCTTATAACCTGCAGCCCATTGATAAGGACTTGAGGCAGGCAGAATTATAACCTTCCTCCAAGAAGCTTCCAACTGTCTTAAGGTTAACGCTTTGCTAGAGGGTATCCTGTGAGTCTTCTTTAGCATATGAAAACCCTTTGGAACTTCCCTTACCTTTCTTTCCCCAACCCCAGAGTATATAATCAGTTGCTCCTCACAATCCCAGGGCAGCAGCTCTTTCTGCCCACAGGTCCTGTCCTGGTGCTTTAATAAAATCACCCTTTTTGTACCAAAGACATCTCAAGAATTCTTCCTTGGCTGTCGGCTCTGGACCTTACCAACATTCCAAAACTACATCAGAGACACAATTGGTTTTTCCAAGGGGGTATGGGGAAGCCAATTAAATCTCAACTAGACAGGACACAATTTCCATGTCTATGAGCTCCAAGTGGCAGAATGGCTCCTAGGTGGTAAACTTGGCTAGACTCTGATAACCCAACCCTGAAGGCTATAAAACAGTGAAGAAGTTTTCTGTTGAAATACATTGTTTTCTCTCCCTTTTAAAAAAGATTTTATTTATTTATTTGTTTGTTTGTTTGTTTATTTATTTATTTGACAGGGAGAGAGTGCACAAGCAGGGGGCAGCGGCAGGCAGAGGGAGAAGCAGGCTCCCCTCAGAGCAGGGAGCCAGATGCAGGGCTCCATCCCAGGACCCTGAGATCATGACCTGAGCCAAAGGCAGATACTTAACTGACTGAGCCACCCAAGTGCCCCAACATTGTTTTCTTCAACACAAGTCTCACTGAGCTCTACCCTTGCTCTCCCATCCCACCCTCATCTGGGTCAATCTAGGCTAGTCCTGCAATGGGCCCAAATCCCCTGGAGGGGGACAGAAGTGAGAAACTGAATATACACACAATAGCCAGACATATAGGGGCAGGACTTGATTCGTAACTGACAGTTGCCCTAATATCTGTCCCCTTCTCCCAAGCACTTCTAGTTTAAGACCAGCCAGAGAAAACCAAATGCACACAAATCACATAGGATGCCCGGCTTCTAATAAATTCGCCTTCAGCTTCCCCATGCCAAATATCTACAATCAGGGCACACCCAAAACCTCTGCTGTTTCCACCATAAAGCTTTGCCTCTCGTCCGCCTGCCTTCCAGTCTCTGCAAAAACCAGTGATGGTGGTTGACTCCCTAGAGCCAGCTCTGAATACATAGCTTCTGCTGTTCTCATTTGGGTAGTTTTCGCTTATCTTCACAAGGTCATGTCCTGCACAACAGGATATAAAATATTTGCTTACCTGCTACAACAGGAGAGGCTAGAATTCAAAATCCAAAAACTTAGTCTGCCTACCTGTACACAAGAGAAGATAAATCTTACCTTGCTCATTCTCTACAGAGGCAAGAATAAGACAGTCACACTTAATGCACCATCCCATCTGGTAGGAAGGGTGTGTGGAACATGGGTGATCAGCAGTGTCACCTGGTCACTGAAGGCTGTGGAAGGCAAAAACTGGAAAAAAAAAAGAAAAGCCTTCTTTAAAAAGCATTTGAGGGGCACTTGGGTGGCTCAGTCAGTTAGACGTCTAACTCTTAATTTCAGCTCAGGTCTTGGTCTCAGAGTCATGAATTTGAGCCCTGTGTTGGGCTCCATGCTGGCCATGGAGCCTACTTAAATAAAAATTAAAATTAAAATTAAGATTAAATTAAATTAAGTAACAAGGATTTGAATACCTCAGTCCCTCCCAAGCCTTCCTGCACCCTACACAAAGTCCTATCATCTAGACCTTTTCTCCTAGTATATCAGGTAGAGGACCATCTATCCAAACCCCATCTTATCCCTGCTCTGGGTCACTGCAGCATCTCCATCTGATGCTGATTCCCACTGCCGAACTTGCCCTTCAGGTAAGATAGACAGCAACGGAGGCTCTATTCTGAAAGATCTTTCTCCAGGGTGACCCACAGAAGGCCCTATTCCCAGCACCTTGGTAGGTGGCCTTGAAATGAGTCTTCTTCTAAAGTTTTCTTTACAAACTTGGGAGGAGGGGTGTAGGGGAGAGGTGCGCAGGGAGGAGAATGAGGAAAATGGGAATTGCAAGAGGTCCTAAAATCCTTAGGCGTTATCAGGAGAGTAAATTAATTATATTCTTATGTTCATAAGTTCCATTCACCAAGGGTATGGAGATTCTGTTGTTGATCCGTAAAATAAAAATTCATTGAAAGCATTGGTGAATCCATTGTGGCTTTTGTATTTATGTCTTTTATCAATTAATAAATACTCCAAACACCATTATTGTTATCAAGTAGGAGACTAAAGTTTTTTGCTACCAGCTGCTGAGCCCCCAACCCAAGACCTTGAGACCACACAGGTCCACCCAAGCTCAACCCCCCTCTTGCAAGAGGAGCTCTGGCTCCCTTTGAGTTCACTGGGACCGGAGTGAGCAGCATCCCGTTCCGGCCCCAATCCTCTCACTTCCTAGCCCATGGTCTTTGGGCAAATCACTTGGATTTGCTGAGCCTCCTTCCTCAAAGAAGATGCAGCCTGAACAGCTCACCAGGCTGACATGGGGATCAAATCCCATGGCGTTAGTGAATGTTCTTCAAAAATGGTTTAAAAAAATAAACCCCAAATAAATAAAACCGAAGACGCACACAGAAGGCACTATTGCTTACGAAGCGCCACCTTCCTTCTTCCTGTAATTAATTCTTCTGCAGAGGCTTAGGGGTGAGGATAGCAGCCATCACTGTACAGCATTTGCATCTTATCAAGGACTATTTATTAGTTCAGGGGGAAGTGAATCAGGGAAAGGGACTGACTTGCATTTGATCCTGTCAGCAGTAAGACCCCCTTGTAGAGAGCAAGATGGAGTCACTCACGTCAAGCAATGACTCATGTCAAGCAGTGACCGAAGCAGCCAAGGGCAGTACACCTAAGACCAGATATCGCCCAAACCAGCACAGGCTAAAGAAACCCAGAACTGATAACCAACAGAACCAGAGGAGACCTGCAGAGGCCCAAGACTGATTAAATACCCCTTAAAAGAGAGGACTTTTGCAGCAAACTGTCAGACTCTCCAGACGCTGACCCTTGCACGTCTGACCACATCAAAAGGCAGCTGCCACCGAAGGCTCTGCCTGACTAATCTCTGAACATAACAGATCCTGCACGGCTTGAACAGGATAAGCAGTCAGCTCTGAGAGCTGGCCCGGACCAGACCCAGTCCTCATCTCAACTGTGCGCGCAGGGACTGACTTGGAGTTGGGTTTGTTAACTTCTTCCCCCTCGTTGTATCTTGCTTGTGGTGTGACTTGGTATTGTGCTTCACTTTGTGTGACATGTAGAAGCCATGTTAAACATGTAGTGAAATGTCATTGAGTTTGGAATCCTGAACCTGCTTTACAATTGTGTTAACCTTGCTAAATAAAGCTGAAATTGTGGAAAGACACAATTCGCATGTGAGTCTTCATAACGTGCTTGCAAACACCTGTTGACCTCCCAAACTGAGGAAACTCCTAGAAGCTTCTGCCTGTCAGTTTCATCTTTTAGAAACTAACTAATGAATTGCTGGAACAGGAAAAGAAGCATTTGAGGACAACTGTGCCAGAACAGTTGAATCAGAAAATGCTCACAGTTACCTCAGCTTCATTATAATGTTAAAATTCCCCTCTGAGGGCACCTGGGTGGCTCAGTTGGTTGGCGACTGCCTTCAGCTCAGTTCATGATCCTGGAGTACCGATCGAGTCCCTCATCGGGCTCCCTGCTCAGCAGGGAGTCTGCTTCTCCCTCTGACCCTCCCTCCTCTCATGCTCTCTGTCTCTCATTCTCTCTCTCTCAAATAAATAAATAAAATCTTTTAAAAAAAAATTCCCCTCTGAATATTCATCCCAAGCCCTAATGAAAAGAACCTGCTTACCAGCTTTAGAAACTCCTCCCTGTGATCTCCTTATTTGCTACAAATAAAGATGACCTTGTGAGGCAGCTCCACCTGGTGTCGTCACCAAGGAGCAGACCCACTTCGTTTGGGTAAAAATGCCAGCCCCTTTACTGACAGTTGTGTGACTTTGGCCACTTGATTTAGCAGCTATGAGCTTCCATTGCCTCATCAGTAGATTAAGAGGTGAAAGTACCTGCTTACAAACTCTTGGGAGGACTTAAGGAGATAATTCATAGATTACCCACTTGGCTTTGGTGTCTGATTGTAGTAAGTACTTATAATAAATTCTTAGTAATTTTTAAAATTATTAAAAATTAATTTTAGTAGATCCCCACAGGGCCAGATCTGAAAAACCAGGGTGCTAAAAACTCAGCCCCAGGGTGTCTGCGTGGCACAGTCGGTTGAGCGTCAGACTCTTGGTTTCAGCTCAGGTTCTGATCTCAGAGCCTTGAGATCGAGCCCCACGTTGGGCTCTGCGCTCAGCATGGAGTCTGCTGAAGACTCTCTCCCTCTCCTTCTGCCCCACCCCCCGTCGCACTCTCTCTCTCTCTCTCTCAAATAAATAAATAGATCTTATAAATAAATAAAAATAAAAAAACTCTTCAACCCAGCAAGAATTATTAAGTGTCAATTTAGCATTCTGCCAAGTATTAATAGAAATGACCATATTCAACCCAGCCTCCTGACCTCAAGTCTAGAATCCCACTGGGAAGGTCAGCATATCCTTGATGCAGGACCCATGAGCAAACTGTCAGACTCTGTGGTCCTGTATTTTACTTCCTCATGTTATGTAAATTGCTCATTTGGACAATTTAATGTCCAAATAAGACCCTGGGGGAACATGGGTAGCAGAGCCAGAGGAGTCTGGGTACTGAGGCCTTGGTGGCGCCCCTAGTAGAGGAAGCAGACAGGACTCCTTCCTACGTGGACAAAGTGTCGAAGACATCACCGAGCAGCTCAGGATGGAGCATGCACAGACTAGGAGGAGGGGGCTTGCTGGTGCACTTTGCCAAGCAGCACCGGTTGGTCCTGCAATTCCTTTTGAAGTCTCCTCCGAACAACTTTAGAAGGAAGACTTGGCAGTGGACCCAACCAGTAGGACAAGAGAGTCTGATGCTGTAGAGAACTCAGTGTTTTGCAAACTTGAGGATGCTTAGAGGCCGGGGACATTCCCAAGTAATAACAGTACCCTACTCTACTGCTGCAGGCCCTTTGCGGTTTGAAGACCTTTTATATCTACATTTTCTCATGTAACTCTCCCCACACTGCTATGCAGGCTGTCTCTCTCTGACAGAGGGAGTTTAGGTAGTTTGCCCAAGGTCACCCACACAGGGAGTGGCAGTCCTGCCTTTCTGATTCAAAGGACAGCGCCCTTGTCCAGGGCAGGCTGTCCCTGGAGGAGCCCCTTCCTCAAGCTCCTACCAGGGTAAGAAGCACAGGGGAGGCTGGTGAGAAATGCAGATTCCTGGGCTGAGCCCCACCCCCAGAGTTTCCAGTTCTGGAAGTGCACGGGGTCTGAGAATCTGTATTTTTGACCTGCCCAGATGAGTCTGATGTAGATCTAGAACCAGATGTGAGAAAAAATAGACTGTCCTGGAGCCACAGAAAAGTACTGAGTCAGCCTCAGGCTCTCACTCCCCGTGTGTGTGTGTGTGTGTGTGTGCGCGTGTGTCCCCTTTTCTTCTCTCTCCTCTCTAGGGAGAAAGAACAAAGAAACCCATCTGAAAGGAGCAGGATCCATAGGAAAAACAAATGGGTGTACTTTTTCCAGAAAGAAACCAAGGTGTTGCCCAGAGGGCACAGGAAGAGAATTTAGGAAGAAGGGATTACAGGCTAAAAGCCGGCTTCCCTCCTCCCAGGTTTAGGCCGAACCCTCCTCCTGCCGCTGAGTTTCCAGCCCGAAGCTGTACTGCAACATTGAGAAGCATGAGGAAAGCAGATGGTTTCAGAAGAGGGCCTGAGCCCGTGAGCTGGGACAGAGCCAGGTCTGGTGCATGCTGGTGTCCTGTAGTGAAGAACCCAGGCTGAGGGGATCCAGGGTCTCAGCTGCTCACAGGACTGTGAGCACTGTCTTCCCATTTGGATAAGAATATTACCCCCTAAGCCCCTCAGGCACACATCAGCTTGGCCCCAGTTATCCACCTCACTGTAGTGTAAATCACATGCTGAAGTCGCCTCAGTGTGCAAGAGAGACCACCTAGCTGGGCAGTGGTGCCCCTCACCTTGGAACTCATTATTAGTCACCCACTTAAGAAAGGAAAATGCAAATTCAAAAACAAGAGCTGAATTCTCCTTGTTGAAAATAAGGGAAGAGATTTTCTCCCCTCTCTTTACTTTAGAAACCGTGTAAAAGTTCTTTCTTCTCTTTGAAATGTATGTAAACCTTTCTTAGAACCTAAAGAAGCCTCCTGCTAGATTTATGACCCAGACATGTCTTTCTCCAGGACCTGAAATGTAAACATCAAAGGAGATAGCCTATCTCTGGGTTTCTCTGGAAGAGCAGGAAATTAAGGTTAGTTAGCAGGTGCCTGGCTCCAAGTTGCAAAATTACTTCCTGTTGAGGTGGGAAACAAAGGCA